ATAAGCTGTTTGAGATGAAAAGGCCAACGAGACAGTCACACTGCTTTTCATCTGGTCTGCTTGCTGTTATAATCCTAGGATGTTTCTTTTCTGGGGCTACAGTTATGCAATCCCTTCTTTTTTTCTTTCCTTTGTCTCCTTCATCTCCAGAGCCTAGAAAGTTAAAGGCATCTGCTTGAGTTATGTCTATTCTCCTCTGCCCTCCTTGTCCTCTGGTCCAAGGCAAAAGAGAGTGCACATGGTCATGAGAGATCTGCACAGTCTGGCAGTGTCTCCACAGACAGCTAGTGAAGTCAGGTAACAGTGTGTCATCTAGAGTCTCCACAGACAGCAGGTGAGGTCAGGTAAAAGTGTGGCAGCTAGAGTATCTCCACAGACAGCAGGTGAGGTCAGGTAACTGTGTGGCAGCTAGAGTATCTCCACAGACAACTAGTGAAGTCAGGTAACAGTGTGTCATCTAGTGTCTCCACAGACAGCTGGTGAGGTCAGGTAACAGTGTGGCAGCTAGAGTATCTCCACAGACAACTAGTGAAGTCAGGTAACAGTGTGTCATCTAGTGTCTCCACAGACAGCTGGTGAGGTCAGGTAACAGTGTGGCAGCTAGAGTATTTCCACAGACAGCTGGTGAGATCAGGTAACACTGTGGCAGCTAGAGTATCTCCACAGACAGCAGGTGAGGTCAGGTAACGTGTGCCAGGGAGGCACAACTGCAGTGGTATTTCACATTGAGAGAACTGTCCTCTGCAGCTAGTAAACCCAGTCAGCATTTGGTGAGATCCAGATTGTTACACTGACAATGAATGGGAAAATAGTGAAAGAAACCAGATTCTGAGGTTTAGAAGACTGATTTTTAAGCAAAGGGGATGAATTTGGTAGCCAGGGCAGCCTTCATGAGCACTTGGCCTGGACAGTGACAGCATCCCACCCTCAGAGGGAGCTGCTGCCTAGGTGACTTTACTGTATATTAATTTCCTAAGTAGGGATGCTGCATTTTTATTTGCCGAGTTCTAAAACTTTATTGCAGATAAAGTGCATAACTCAGGACACAGCCCAAGGAAGTCATAGTCTTCCTTTACATTTATGTTTAAATACACAAATGACCTCTCTTTTCTTCCCACCCTCATTGCTTAGGATAACTCAGTATGTATTTATTTAATAAATTAATGCACATCACCAGAAGGAGAGTGCAGGATCCAACTAATTGACCTTGAGTTCTTTAAGTTCTCCTGTCAGGAGGAGTAAGAGCAAAGCAAAGTGTTGCTTAACTCTAGGTGCATGACTCGTCCAGCCACCCCAAATCCAGGGAACTATGGCCTTCAGGTTCACGGGAATACTGTAAAAAATGAGCCACGTGGGGGAGGATAAGCTAATGTTTATTTTTGTATGACTCTATACAGCTGTCACTGTAAGCCTCCCCAGTTCCTGCCCCTCTGACTGTGGTCCACTGCAGGTCTGCAGGAGGTACTCATGAGAGAATCTGTTTGTCCATGCCAACCATCCAAAACCAGAACTCTAAGCCTGCCTCATTATTATGCACTTATGAGGCAATTTTGTGGTTAATTTTAAAGTAGTTTCTGGGGGGTTGCCATTAATTCTACTTTTCACCTTAGTATGAGTCTGGATTTCATTTTATTAGAATATGCTCTTTCTTATTTAATCATTATTCCTGAAATTCAACAAGGACACAACAAATAAAACCATAGATAAAAACCTCTAATGAACACGGATACAAAAATTCTTAGCAGGATGCTAGCAAATCATATTCAAGGGCATAGGTTTACCCCTGGGGTGCTCAGGTCCAGAAAAGCATGGCTGCAGAGGCCAGGGGCCACGAGCCTCATGCAAACCATGGCCCTGGGAGATAAATTAGAGTTTCTATTGGATCACAATTCTTACTAATTTCTGTCTTGACCCACCCCATTCATACTTCAAACCAACAATCAGATGAACAAGAATTCTGTCAGTACTGGATGTCCCTATTGGATACACAGTTTGGGGGAATAAAATGGGAAATAATCACTTCTGATCAAGACGTGGGGAGCTGCATCACGTAGGTGTGTATTAGTCTCTCACCCTGACAGATTCTAACTGAAGTGCCATACTGTCTTAGTTAGGATTTCTATTTCTGAGACTAAACACCACGACCAAAGAACAAGTTGGGGAGGAAAGTTATTCAGCATTGCTGTTCATCACTGAAAGAAGTCAGGGCAGGAACTCAAACAGGGCAGGATCCTGGAGGCAGGAGCTGATGCAGAGGCCATGGAGAGGTGCTGCTTACTGGCTTGTTCCTCATGGCTTGCTCAGCCCACCTTCTTATAGACCCCAGGACCACCAGCCCAGGGATGGCACCACCCATCATGGTTTGGGCCCTTCCCCACTGATCACTAACTGAGAAAATGTCTCACAGCTGGATCTCATGGAGGCATTTCCTCAGCTGAGGCTCCTTCCTCTGATGACTACAGCTTGTGTCAAGCTGACATACAAAACCAGCCACTACACACATTCCCGTTCCTTTCTATACCTTTGTTTACTGTTAGAATTAGAGAAACAACTCCATCTTTGGTGACATACCGAGAAATTTTCCATGTTAAAAAACAAAACTTGAGATGGTGTTGTGCTCTGAGCATAAAAACAACAGCCCTCGCATTGTCTCATGGTAAGTGGGGGACTATCCGTGCAGTACTGGATGCTGGAGAGCAAATCAGAGAAGTGGTGGAGATCCATTGGCTAGATGCCCTGGATTCTCCTTCAATCTTGCTTTTCACTGTAGCTGCTAAGCAATGGAGTGGGAGGAATTCATACAAAACAAACTGAGTCTACCTGGCTGATCTCAGTCCTCGGGGGAGGCTTTTCCCTGGAGGAGGTGGGAATGGAGGGTGGGCTGGGGGGAAGGGGAGGGGGGCGGGAGGGGGGAGAACAAGGGAATCCGTGGCTGATATGTAGAACTGAATTGTATTGCAAAATAAAATTTAAAAAAAGGGGAAAAAAAAACACTTCCAAAGAGCTGACTTGTAATTCTCTACATTAAAAAGTGATTTCTAATGTGGAAATCTGTTTGCCTTCTATTCTTCAAATTAAACATTTAACATATCTCCAAAACAAAATTTCCTATCCAATTTACAGAACACAGAAATCAAAATACATGTTTACCAATTAAAGTTGATCTTACATTGCCTAATTTATAACCCCCAGTTTCATCCCATTACATTTTGTCACAAAATCATCATTGAAGAGTCATAAAAAGTAGGTTTCTGTTTCAAGAAAATGTGTGTATGCATTCATGTGTGCACTCACCATGTATGTGTGTGCTGTGTGTGTATGTGCAAATTCATGTGTGCACACACCATGTATGTGTGTGTACATTCGTTCCTACAATAGTGTTAGAAGGTCTGTGTGGAAACTTTGGCCTGAGAGTTTCTCCCATGTAGCATGTGTTGATTTCACTAGTGGTTACTTCATTTTAAAATTGTTAAGGAAGTCTCTGTTCTAGGATAAATTCTCAGCAGTACTGAAGAACTACAGAATTGCTTGAATAACAACGTTTTGCGAATTGGGATTATTAGGACTTTTTTGAGTTTGATATTCCATGAAATGATTGGTCCCCTTCTCCTAGTTATAAGAAGTTAATAAAGGACAGTATCAATATTCCTGTAACAGAAGAAGATATTGGCACTCTCTTTTATTCTAGGTTACAATTTACTTTTCTTAACTGTGCTCCAGTGGAAGGCCACACATCCAAGAATATTTAAGCAGCACAGACTGGCCTTGAGGAGTGGGGGACAAAAAGTGCACAGAGTTGGGTGGGAAGGAAAAAGGGAAGCCTGGGAAGAGTTGGAGGATGGATGGTAAGAATTATTAAAACATGGTCTATGAAGTCTGTCTCAGTAAGGGTTACTATTGCTGTGAAGAGACACCATGACCACAGCAACTCTTAGAAAGAAAACATTTAACTGAGGCAGCAGCTTACAGTTTCAGAGGTTCAGTCCATTATTGGCTTGCAGGCAGGCATGGTGTTGGAGTAGGTGAGAGTCCTACATCTTGTAGGCAACAGGAAGTCTGTCACACTGAGTGAAGCTTGAGCAAAAGAGATCTCAATTACTTTGTGAGGCATCAGTAGGCAATATCTTCTGGTTTTGTCTGACTCATCCTTACTGTTCTGTTCACTGTGTTGCCATCAGGAGCCTTTACAGGAGAGCCTAATAAATGTTGTATGATAATAAATATTCAAGGCATATGGTTCGGGAGTTTTATGTAAATTCTACAAAAAATATATTCTGCTTCCACATTAGTTTATAACTACCATGCCTACTAAATATGAGACTGCTAAGGTTTCTTGTTTTCTCACTTAGAGTATCTATATTTTTGCCCGTTCTCTTTCTTTCTTTTCCTTCTGCCTTATAAGAGGATATAGATACTTGCTTTGTTTCTTGCTATTGCACCTTTGATGCGATTTATTACTGTTGTGTGAGGGCTTGCACCACCACTCCTCACCTTAAAAACGTGCCTCTTATTCTACCTGATTCTCCTCCTGAATATTTACAAAAGCAGTGAGAATAAGTCTCTTTGATCCTAGAACTTTCTTTTTAAGAAAAATTCTTAACCAGGCAGTGGTGGCACACACCTTTAATCCCAACACTCAGGAGGCAGAGGAAGGTGGATCTCTGTGAATTTGAGGCCAGCCTGGTCTGCAAAATGAGTTTCAGGACAGGAACCAAAACTACACAGAGAAACCCTTTATCAAAAAAAAAAAAACAAAACAACAACAAAAACAAAAAACTCACCAAAATAAAGAAACCTTACATCATTATTTATCTGAGTTTCTGAAGAACAGTAATTGTTCACTGCATACCTCACAGTTTTTAACAAACTTAAAGACTCCCTTAGCTTCATCATTAACATTAACAGGTTAGCATAATTCTAACATAAATACTGCTGTATATAAATACAATTCTCTCAATCTTACATCTTAAAGCAAACTCTTTTTTTTTTTATTTTCACCATCACCTTTATTATTGAAACACCAACCAAAATGTCATCAGTTTATTTAGGTTTTAGCCAAGAAATCCACAAAATGTAAACCTGATGGTCAGTGCTTCATAAAGTGGATGCCCACTCCCCAACCGTGGGGGTTTGTGAAACAGGATTTCATGTCGCCTACAACAGCCTCAAAACTTGCTATGTAGTTGAAGATAGCATTAAACTCTGATCCTCCTTGCTCTGCCTCCCAAATGCTAGATTGCAAACACGCCACCATGCCCACCCTAAATTTTTTAACACTGTTTAACTTATACATTTTAATTAAGGGGACTTGATGGCCTCGGGCTGGTTCTCATTGGTCCATGTGCTAAATATCATTCAACCAAGCACGCACATGAAAATAGTAAAATACTGCATAATCAAGAAGATGCCTAATTCTCACAGGCATACTGCAGAGCAAGTAACACAGAGATAGCCCCAATTTATAATGCATATGGAGAACTAAAGTTGAAAAACAAAAAGGCTATGTCCTGGGATGCAATGAAGGGCATTCAGAAGCTTCACGGACCAGATGGCTGCCCCAGACTAGGCAGGGAGTGGACGTCAATGCTTGTGCCCAGGGATTCAAGGCTCCAGAAAACAAAATGGGCAAAATCAAAAACAAGCTGGAGATGCACTGACTGTTCACAAGGTATAGAATATTTTGTTTTGAGTAAAGAGAAGTACTCTACTCTGAAAAAAATAAATAACAAGCATGTAAAACTCAGACAATCCAAGCCAGCCTTTGGCCCTCAGACCTCACCTGTGCCTTCCTGCGACTCCATTCCTTACACTGACCATCACTGCACAGCCCAGAGCACTCAGCACATGCTCCTGATGTGTGTGCCTTCAAGACAATGAAAAAGGACCCAGAAAACGCAGCTTACCCCAGATAAAATCCAACATTAAGGTAAGCATCCTCCTGTAATAAAATATGCCAGTGGCAGCATATTTTAACCACTTTTGACACACACGCAAAATATGCTCACCCTGTGCCCCTCTGGAAACATGGCATTGTTGAGTCAGATTCCTCGTAAGGTAGTTCAAAGTTTTGAAACAGCAAATCTACAGATCTGCCTATACTACCATGGGTGGTTGTTAAGGCTGACACCAAACTCTATATTCCCTGGCTTCTCAAACTATTAAAAATCTTTTCCTTCAGGTTGTACCAAATTCACAACTAAAATAAACCAAAGAGATGAAGGCACAAAATGACAAATGTCAAAACAAATGGCAAAGGCCACGTGAGAATGTGTGTGATCACCCCCACAGTCCAAACTTCCCTAAAGAATTAAAAAGCAAACCAACGAACTTTACTTGGTTTATCAATGCTTCAGGTATTTTATAAAGTAAGAGAACTAGAGAAGCTGAGGCAGGGGAATTGTAGGTTCAAGGTCAGCCTGGGCTTCCTACTTACATTCTGTCCTGTAAATGGGCAGAACATAAACTAACACCATGGCACTACCCCACAGAGTTCCTCCAATACAGCATGTCTAGAAGGAAAGATGCCTGGCAGGATCACAAGGCTGCATGGCAGTCCAGCGTGCTTTCAGGTCTGCTTCAGGGGTGCAGGAATATTGGCAGATGCTTGCTCAAGGAAGGCCAAGGAGCCCTGTGGCATTTCGGCCGGCTTCTTGTGCTGCACATTGATGTCGTCCAGCACCTGCTGCCAATGCCTCAGTTTTGTCAAGTGCTTCTGGACCAGCGCATCTTTCCGCTGCAGTTCACTCCTTAGCTCGGAGACATCCTCTTTGATAACTTGATCCGGTTTCTGGACAGACAATTGCAACCTTTTTTGTAAGAAAAAACATTCTGTCTGTCTTGCAATGTCCAAAAACTTCTGAATACACTGATCAACACCAGTTCGAATTTCTTCCTGATCAGTTCCATTGACGTAATCCTGACTCACAAGGGAAGCAAAGCAAGCCTCGAATGACGACTCCAACTCGTCCATCAAAGTGCTGTTGGACGATCTCGAAGCCCCAGGCGCTGCCTGCAGAAGCGACGCCTGGCCCGGGAGCCCCGGCGGGGGCGGCGGGGGACCGGGTGGCTGCCCGGAGAACATCCCGCCGAGAGCCCCCGCCATCCCTGCAATCTTAAAGCAAACTCTTAATAGAACCATTTGAATTTCTTGCTAACACAACATAAACTTGTATGTATTTACATAAAACTTAAATATTTCTTTAATTTCACCAAACCATGTATCAATATCAATAGATTAACATAATAACTCATGAATACTACTATACACAATTATAATTCCTACATTCAAAAGCAATATCTTAATATAACCATTAACATTTTCCTAGAAACCTACATTCAAAAGCAGTCTCTTAATAGAACTATATGAAACATAATCTTAATCCATTCAAGAAACAAGAAAATATTTTTTTAATTAAATAGACTGACGAATATTAACTCTCCCTTTCCTTTATAATTTTTTAAACTAAATCTCGAGCCTAGTTAGAAAAAATCCAAATTTCTCTGTTTAAACAGTTCCATTTTTAACACAAAACCGGTTCCATTTTTACATAAACAGTTCCATCAGAACTGATAGAGTCATCAGAGTTGATAGAGTCTAGATGTGTAAGTAAATTCAAACTGTCCCATTGTAATGAAATCACTACTGTCCATTTCATTTCTTAAGTTCAAAAAGTTCAAAAGAATAAATTCTGGTACCAGGTCTTCCAAATATGAAGAAACATTTCTCACAACCAAAATCTTTTTGCAGTTAACAATTTTAGTTCAAACAAGTGTCTCTGAACCTTTTGTTCTCAGGCCAGAGACACTTCAATTACAGCAGCATTATATGGCAGTTTTCCTGAGGAACCTTTGCCTCAGGAGAAACAACTGCTATAGTAACTGAGCTGCTATGAGCTCCTCCAAAAAGCTCTCTCTGCAGCCAGCAAACAGAAACTGCAAAGCCTTCGCCGCTAGTTTTGTTCAGGCTTCTACAGCTTTTACAGTCCTGGTCTGTCTGTGCCTCCTGTAATGGGGCTGTTCCCAGGACCCCTGTGTCCTGAGCCTAGAGGGCTCTCAATCATTCATGCCACATGGGCTCAAAAGGTTGCTCCTGCTATGAGGCGCCACTCTCAGCACCCAGGGTCCGGGATGAAATCCAGCCATTATGAGCTGTAGCTTCCTCGGGTCCCACTACCTGGTTCACCAGCGGTCCCATGCTCAGCATCCATGGTTCCAGCCACACCCTGCTGCTGGGAGCTTGGGCTGCCTCTCAGCAGTTCCCACGAGCCGGGTCTGGCTGTTGACCTTTCCTGAGGTGAGGCAAGCCAATGGGCTCTTCAAGCCACTGCCTGCCATTTGCCTCTCTCGTGTGTTGTGTCTCTGCTCCTCACTGTGGCTTTTTCACTGAAGAAAGCTTGCAGAACCTTGTCTCTGGTGCTGGCTCTGCTTTTGCTGGCTCTTGGTGTCTGCTGCTTGGGAAGCTATGACGCTCCATGGATCTCAGCCACTTGCACTGGTTCTGGAGTCTGTTCTTGTTGGCGGCCTCTGGAACTTCTGAAGGTGCTCAGACTGCCGTTTGCAGTCTAGGGATGCTACTTTCTGCATCCCAGGTTGGAAAAATCTACTCTACTCTAAATTACTTTTTTATTAGACCTTCACCATATAATCCCTCTATTAAACCTTCATCATGTTCCTAGATGTAAAGTCTATATCCGACTCTAATGTATCCAAGCCTACATTTTTATGACTTACTTTACTTACACTTCTTATTTAAACTTATATTTTTTAGGACTACTTTATAAACCTTAACATCTAGAAGAGATATTTGAATTATTATCATTTTAGGACTACTTTATAACAGAATTATCTTACATTAGAAAGAATCTCTTCATACATCTATACTTATTTATAGTTCTTACAAGCTTATATTCCTAAGGAAACTATTAGCACATATCTCTTAGAAGAATTATTTACCAAGCTTATATTTAAGAAGAAACTATAGAACTATTAGACTCTAACAAGACTTAGCAAACATTTATAAGAGATTTCTTAACACCTAGAAGACATTTTTTTAACTAAACCATTAACAAGACAGGAAGTATGCAAACCATTTCTAAAGTTCAGAGTTTATAGTAAAGTTCATAATTTATAGTCAGCTTTGATATCATTCTGAAAATTCTCCTGACAGTTGGACACAAGAGTGTAATTTGTCAATGGCTCTCTCAACCCTGGAGTTTAGTGAGTGCTGTGGCTATGGAGTTGTAATACTTGTTGCTAGGGGCCTGTAACACTCTCGGGACAATGCCACTCTCCAAAGTCACCTTTCCTGCTGAGCTCCCTCAACCATTCTGGAACTAGTAGAAATGTGCTCAGTGGCAGACGGTTCTTAACTTAACAGCCGTCCCTTTACCCAAATTCATAACAGCTCCCCTGAGTGCTTCAATTCAGACAAACACCATTGACTTCATTCAGTTGCCACAGAAGCTTTGCGTCAGGGTGAGGATGAAATTGAGCTGCCATAAAGCTCTTAGCAAAAACTTCTTGCACAGCTATTAGGCACTGTCTCAAATCTGCATTGATAATTATCTCCTTACAAGCAAGCTGTTCACCTGTTCTCAGGAGGTAAAATTAAGCTTTCTAGCATTGCTTTGGAAAGAAATTTCACTTTCAGCTGAAGAACCCAGAATTTTTGGGCAGTACCACCATTTTTAGCTGAAAACTATGTTTCCCAGAAAGCCTTTCCCCATCGCGTCGTACTATTACTACATTTCCAAGCTGCTTTTTCAAAACTACATTTCCCATCATGCCTTTCAAGTATGCCATTTCCCATTTCTGTTTACAGGGTCTGCATGGTTTATGTTCATACTGAAGGCAAGCTTCTGCTTTTTTATCAAGGGAGGTTTTTGTTTTCCCTAAGCTGCATTAGAACAGGTGTACTTCCTTAATCAGGCCTTTCACCTGATGCTGGTTGCGTCCATCTGTCCTCACACACTCAGAAGGTGGTTTATCACCAGATGAGTGAGGGAAACCGAAAGCACTTGAAACAAAGTTTATTCAGAAAGATCTTTTCCCTGATAGAAAAGAGAGCTTTTCTCCTGGATAGTTCTCCATCCTGTCCTGGCTCAGCTCCCTCCCAAACAGTGTGCCTGATGTGGCAGCTGCAGCTGCAGCTCGGCTTTACTGCTTCCTCTGCCTGCACTATCCCATGACTATGGCTAGGTTCTAACCACAGGGAACTTCTCGCTGCTGTTTTTTACTAGCAGAGAGGATTTGCCATACTCCAAGAGGTTTTGTTGTTTCTAAAGCCATTACAGGTCATTCTCCCATACTGATATCTCCAGGTGAATCTAATTATGCCCTTACAGAAAGAGAAACTGAGAAAGTTCTGAAAAGCTTTTTAGTTTTGAGAAAGAGAAATTAAGTTTTTCCCTAGAAAGCTTTTAGTTTTTGAGAGAGAAAGACCACCAAGTTTTCCCAAAACTTCTGTTCTCTAAACTTTGGCTTCATGGCCAAAAGGAAACTAATTCTAATGGTACAATGTTTCCATACAGTGGCAGCACCAGTGGAGTGAAAGTTTTATTTCACCCAAATTTGCCTTTGCCTCAGGGAACATTATTTCCCCAGATGCTTGGACTTAGCATTTTTGCCATCCCCAGGTCAAAAGCTTCCACTAGAATCTTTTTTCTGCCCATTAAGCTCTTCTCTGATAGATCCTACTTCACCCTAAGTTTTTTCTTTCTTAAACTATATTCCTAATTCAATATTTCTATATATTACCTTACTCTAAATTTCTTCCTATATTATTTTCCTATATTCTACTTTATATTTTTCCTTAATTTTTATAGATAGAAATTAAGAGAGGCGGGGGGGGGGGGAATCTAGATAGAGAAAAGTCTATGCTGCAGCCTTGTGGAACTTCACTGCCTAACGTACACAACCGAGAATCAAATACCATTGATTACAAATCAAATACCTTCAATTTTCAATTCCTTATCAGCATGCCTATACTCATAATGCCCCTCATTCTTTTCACCAAGTCCTAGGGTTATTTTTTTCTTTGTCTCTGTTCACTGGTGCCATCTGTGGGGGACCAGCTCCCACATTTATTTACCCCAGGAACTCTTGAGGAGTGAGGAATAAGAGACTTAGGTAGAAATAAAGAGGGGAGAGAAAAAGATAGAAATGCAGGACAGCCCCTCGTGGGCCTGGATCCTTAGCCACCAGCCCAGAGCTTTATTCCAAAGGGATTTTTATAACAATGCCAATGGGAGGGGCAAAGAACCTCCACCTTGCTAGATAGAGCCAAGTGTAGACCCTTCCAAACATCTGGCACTCAGGCCCATTGTCCAATCATCCTCTTATGCAGCCCTGCTGCGTGAGCCACCAGGAAACCTTGGTGAGCGACAACAGAGTTTCTATGACCTGTGAGACTTCACAGAGATGGCTCAAGGCCTCTACCCTTTCCTCTAGTTTGTTCTCATCACACGATGGGCAGGATGGGCCCTTGGTGTCCATTATCTCATTTAGCATTACTATTGTGTAGATAAGATAACTAATGGAGATAACACAGCTAGTAAACAGACAACCCAAGATTTTAAACAAAGTCTTACCAGTTCCTAAATTTATGTTTAGCCATTAACCTGGATTGGCTTAATGTGATTGTAATATCCTACTAACTATACATTTCATTGTTACCAGATGCTAGCAAGGCCATTCTTCCTATACCTAGAGTGGTGCATATAGATTGTTAAGGCAAACTATTTATGAAAAGAGAGAAAAGAAAAACTTAATCTAAACTTTTGTATACTCTACCAAAGCCCCAAATTAGTTTTCAATTGTCTCCATATACTATAAAATTAAATACTCAAAGTGAAGAAAAATGTCTTTTGGCTTTACTATTTATTCCTACCCAAGCATTCCCAACCTCCCTAGTACCTGTTTCTGCATTGAGCACCAATTGTGACAGGTGACTTGCTAAGTAGCTGAGATGCTGGGATGCTACAGTGACAAAGCAGATAGTCTGATTACTATTCATTGTCATGAAATGTGATTGACAAAGCAAAAGATAAAAACTTTTTCCCAGGCATCAAGGTTTGCTTGCTTGTTAGAACAAAACATGGCTAATAAATGATTATTCTTAGAGTTCAAC